AAGCGGTTCTTTCTATAAATCAAGCAGGAACGAACAAGCAGCACTCTATTAAGTCTCTTGATGCACAGAAGGTTTTTTTATTGCAGTGGTTCGAATATTAGTGAACAATTATAGTCGGACGCTAGCGCATCATCGAGATGATTTTCGAAATGTCCCACTTGCGGCGTACGTCGTGTGATATATTTAGCTTGAATCCTCATTAAGTAGGGCACTGCTGTTGATAATATTGCCGTTTTAGATGTTGTCATACATTGCTTTCTCTCTGACAAATTACTTGCTTTTAGTGGTCCCTCTAAGACAATTGGAGATGTAGTTTCTTTTCTACTTGAACACCACTGGAATTGCCTGGCTTCCTATTGCCTTCTTATTCTAAGCTTATCTTTTTTAACCCATGTGCACATAGAATTTAATTGTTTTTTTTTTTTCTACTAATGTTTGGCTGTATCGTGGAATGGGAATAACGGAAGTGAATAATTGCTGATCTCTCAATTGCACTGCCTATCTGGCAACCATTTAGGAAGGAGGAATAGGAAAGAAGAATAAAAGAGTGAGCCGACGGCAGTCATCCAAGGTGGGCACATTCCTACTCCACGATTTTATGGGCCCCTAGCCAACCACTTGACCCGGTTCACGAGAAATTTCTGGTCTCCAAGGCTTGAGCCTGCAAGCTGGGCCTCCCACCTCTGGACGTTAGGCCCTATGATAGGCAGCACCTATGGGTTGTGCCCATACTCCCATACCTCCCTGTCCTTCCTCCTCCCATACCATACGGTGGTGGTTACTGGTTGCTGAGTGGAAGTTAGCTTATGAATGCATGCAAGTACATGGGGGTCTTGTGCAGGAATGTTCTTGTCCTTAAACATCAGGCTGGCAGACTGCATCTAATAAAAACAAATTTAGGTTTTTTTCGGCTTTGTGGTTCATGATATTTTCAGCAGAGCTTTGAACAAGTTTTGCTGCTTTATGTAAGCAGATGAGTCACTGCAGTGGCATAGTGGTTGCTGCACTTGGCTGCTCGCCTGAAAGATGGCAAGTTCAAACCCAGTCTCGGTGGTCTCGTTTCGATAGTGGCACAGTAATAATTAATAATAATTCTTGGGGCTTCACGTGAAGGACTCTAATGAAAATTTGGACTACCTGGGTTTCCCTAAATGTGCATCTGAATCTGATCACATGGACTTCCAGTATTTTGCCTCCATTGAATGGGGGCACAAGTGCTAGAGGCCCATTACAGTGGACAATAAAGATCCACATGTGGTTGAAATCACTCCACTACAACGTGTCATAGCTTGAGTTGTTTTAGTCGATTGAATCCCACAAACCAGCCAACAATTTAAAGCCAATTGTGTGAGACCATCTGTATTTACATCTAAATGTTTTCTTGCAACAGGGATGTCATTAAAGTAATTTAACGTAGTGTGATATTCTTCTTCCGGCACGGGAACTTCTTGTCTGGGAGTTAACTGTTTCTGCTGTATTTTTTCAGGGCTCGGTGATAATCAAGGGGCTCGAGGAGATCACGGTGCCCAACCGCGAATAGGTGTTCTTCATCCTCCAAAAGGGTGCAGCAAAGCGTAAGACTGCTGCTACACTTCTCAATGCAACGTCATCGCGCAGCCACACAGTATTCTTGGTCACAGTTCACATCCGCGAGACAACGGAAGATGGCGAGGATGTAGTAAAAACTGGAAAACTCAACCTCGTGAGTAATGGTGTGACCTACTTTAACACAACACACGCAAAGCATTCTCACATGTGCTGTTTACTTAGTTCCTTTGTTTGCTATGCTATGTTGACTCTAAATATTCTAAATTTGGCCTCTAAGATCTCTGCAGTTAACTCTCCACTCTAATTGGTTCAAATTGTCTGTGCAGCTATTGCATTTTTATTGTCCATTTGATCATCTCAGTATAACAGTAGCATAGTTCCTTCTTGCCTATCTTTTGTATCGGTTTATTCCTGCTCAAGCCTGTATTGATTCGTTTTTCATACCATTTCACACCTTGATCTTGCGGGGAGTGAGAACATAGGCCGATCAGGTGCCATTGAGAGGTGAGCACGTGAAGCAGGCAAGATTCTTGTTCTTCAGACACTTGTGGAGTACGTACCTCTGGTAATCGAAACGGCACGTTTTGTTGTGTTCTGTAGGCTTAATAAGCGTTTTATCTGTTTTTATCAGTTTTGATGGTATTATGATGCTATGGGTAAAGTTTTGAGTGCACTTCTCAACCACATTTTGATGAGGGCTCAAAATAATTCTGTCTACTCTATGATGTGCTTCCAACTGCGTTGTGGTTCTGGAAAGTAACATACTAGAATTTATTTTCAGAGTTTATATAAGTTTAAAGTTCATAATTTTAAGTGTATTTAATAGATAAAGGGTGCTGATAGTCCTGCATATTTTTTAGGAATGCAATCAGGATTTCTCTGTGCACAAATGCATGAATAACTATACCAAGATATTTCTCGCAGTACCAGTGTCTCAGTTTTCTATGCGTTTACTCTGCACTATCCCGGTTTACTTGTTGTACCTTCAGCCCTTGCATGCACTTTATCACTTGTCAAGTATGCAAGTTTTGACGTTCAAGGTCTGGTGTCTCATTGCCATTTGCATGACTCTCGCAGGCAACATCAACCAGTCTCTCCTGACTCTGGGTCGCATCATAACGGCTCTTGTTGACAAGGCACCGCATGTTCCCTACAGGTATTTGTGGTCCATCATATTTCAATTTATACAGCCTTTGTTTGTGCATGATACCGCACACAACGTTGTGGGATTTTTCAACTTGAGCTTTTTGTAAAAATGTGATGCGATTGTATGAGCGTTATACACCAAGTATCTTGAAAACCACTTTAATTATCACAATTTCTGCTGTTTGCAAAACTGAGTAAAATCTGAAACAGCAGGCGCCGATATAGAAAACAGTGTTGGCTATAAAATCTGCACTGTGCTTCTTTAAGTGCAGACATATGTCATATGGTATCTGCAATCGTCAAAACTTCAATTTGGTTGAGAGGTAAACTATGCGTCATTTCTTTTTAGCTATTGGACCAGTCCTAGGACAGGAAATTAATGTTGAAATTTACAGAGAACTCTGCACTATGTACGTTGCCACTTTTTATAAAATATTTTTAGATTTTGATCGTAAGCTGATTGCCTTGTGTTTGACAAGGGCTGTTTCAAATGACACATCAAATATTTTATGCAAAAAAAGTGCAGTTAATTGCAGTTTAATTATGCATATTGCATAAAATATGCCCATCACACAAATAGTAATAAGTACTGATCCTGTGACATTAAATGAAAATTGCTTGGCAACAATGTAGCTATACTTCCAGCTTGTGCAATGAACTAGAATTGTTGTGCTGTCGTGAATATTAAGTATAGTATGGCTAGAAAAGCCTGAAATTATGTAATTTTAGATGGTTGCATTTCAGTCAAAACCTTAAAACATTAAGTTACTTCTTATTTTCAATTGTCCTAGTTGATTGCATAGATTAACGTTCCAGGAAGAAGCATTGGAAGTTTCAGTAAAATATATTGGATAATTCAGAACTTATGGCTTTTGACGCAATAAGAAATAACTAAAAATGTTGTTTTGAGAAAAAATAAGATAAATATTTTGCACACGATGTATATTCATGATAGGAACATAGTGGGACTCCAAAAGCTGCCAGGTTAATAGCTGGGACCTTCCCTAGCTGTCTCGAGCTATGGCCCGAAATTCAAGGTGGCAGCAGAAGATCCGCTAAGAATAAAGAGAGCACACCCATGCTTTTAGTTAAATGCTTCATTAATACGCATGGATTCATGGCTTTCGTTTGCCCTCATTGGGCGAGTGAAAACTGTGAATAAAAACAGTGAAAGTTGCGGGGGGGGGGGGGGGGGGGGGTATGGAGCAGATGCCGCATATTTAAAATCTCCTGATGAAGGGAGAGGAGGGGGGCTTACAGCATTTTCACAGCATTCACAGCAATCTGTGAATTTTCAATGCCCTTAATATACATTGATCGCTTATTTTCCTTTTTCTTTGCAGAGAAAGCAAGCTGACTCGGCTCTTGCAAGACTCTCTTGGTGGCCGCACAAAGACTTCCATCATTGCGACAATCTCACCCGACATGACTAATCTGGATGAGACGCTGAGCACCTTGGACTACGCTCACCGTGCCAAGAACATCACCAATCGTCCGGAGGTCAATCAAAAGATGACCAAGCAGGCACTCATAAAGGCAAGGCTGGCCTTACTGTACTTTTAGATGTAATCTATCGAATAATTCTCATTTCTCTGTGGTGCTTACTTTGGCTAATGGGTCTTTTTTTAGTACCTTACGTTTTGTTTGCTTGTTTCTTCAGCTTCACAATATCCATCAATGGGGTTAACTGCTCAATTCCTGATCAACATTTTTATCTTGACAACTTCACATGTATTTGTACACGTGAAGGCAAGATAACTGCTATTTATTAAGGACCACAGACTAGATCCCAAGAGAAGGCAAGTGGGTTAGGTTGGTAGATAAGATTAGGAAGTTAGCGGGTATAAAATGGCAGCAGCAAGCATAGGACTAAGTTGACTGGCGGAACATGTGAGAGGAACTTTGCCTTGCAGTGGGCATAGTCAGGTTGATGATGATTATTCTTGTAAACCCCGATACTGAGTTTATTCTGTTACTTGAGGAGGGAAGGGGGGGGGGGGGGCTTTTAGTTAGCATTGATCCATACTAACAATTCCATGTTTATGTACCTGACTTGTGAAAAAAATGTAAGCAAATGGTGCACTTAAAACCATCACAAAGCCTTGCTTTGACATAACATTGCATTTGTTTTAAGCATGCTTTTCGTTTATATTCACCATGAATCAACTTGCTCGATTCTGACTCCTTTATTTGTGAAGCAACTTGTGTGTAAGCAATGAGTGGTGTATTGTTCTTTAATTGCAAAATGACCTGCGTTTCTTTTTCTCGGTGCTTAGAATGCACTGCAATTCACTTCTGCTTTACTGTGACAGAAGTACACAGAGGAGATACAGCGTCCCCAAAGGGACCTGGCAGCAACCAGAGACAGGAATAGAATTTTCGTGGACCAGGAGCACTATAGGTAAGCATCCTTTTTAAGTGAAGGTGGGTCATCTAGAGGCCTTTTCCTGTCTGTTTCGTCTGTAATGGTTTAGTGATGCTTTGGTATTCAGCGAACCAGGGAACTGTGTCAAATTGTTTGTCACTTAACAGTTACTGGGGGTGAAAGCTCTGTAATTACGTTCTAGCAACTTGAGAAGCCCTCTTTTTTTCATGCTAGATCCTTGGAACCTTTTTTTTTACACAATGCCCACATGATGCACAATGAGCTTGAAAAGATAGCAAAAAATTCGTAAACGAGGGGTTTGTTTTTATCTCATCAAGCTTGTATTCGAGATTCCTTGAAGGTCAACTGCGGCGACTTTTTGACCATGTCAACGTAATGGTGCTTTTATGTTCCTCAGATGCTCTTGTCGTGGGCCTGATAGCAAAAATACTTGGCAAAGTTAGAATAATTTTAAATAAGCAAAATAGTGCAACACTGAAACCCGACCGCAGTAGTATCTTCATGCCTTGCTTTGACATAACATTGCATTTGTTTTAAGCATGCTTTTCGTTTATATTCACCATGAATCAACTTGCTCGATTCTGACTCCTTTATTTGTGAAGCAACTTGTGTGTAAGCAATGAGTGGTGTATTGTTCTTTAATTGCAAAATGACCTGCGTTTCTTTTTCTCGGTGCTTAGAATGCACTGCAATTCACTTCTGCTTTACTGTGACAGAAGTACACAGAGGAGATACAGCGTCCCCAAAGGGACCTGGTAGCAACCAGAGACAGGAATAGAATTTTCGTGGACCAGGAGCACTATAGGTAAGCATCCTTTTTAAGTGAAGGTGGGTCATCTAGAGGCCTTTTCCTGTCTGTTTCGTCTGTAATGGTTTAGTGATGCTTTGGTATTCAGCGAACCAGGGAACTGTGTCAAATTGTTTGTCACTTAACAGTTACTGGGGGTGAAAGCTCTGTAATTACGTTCTAGCAACTTGAGAAGCCCTCTTTTTTTCATGCTAGATCCTTGGAACCTTTTTTTTTACACAATGCCCACATGATGCACAATGAGCTTGAAAAGATAGCAAAAAATTCGTAAACGAGGGGTTTGTTTTTATCTCATCAAGCTTGTATTCGAGATTCCTTGAAGGTCAACTGCGGCGACTTTTTGACCATGTCAACGTAATGGTGCTTTTATGTTCCTCAGATGCTCTTGTCGTGGGCCTGATAGCAAAAATACTTGGCAAAGTTAGAATAATTTTAAATAAGCAAAATAGTGCAACACTGAAACCCGACCGCAGTAGTATCTTCATGTGATGTAAGCGTTGGTAAAAACCATGCAAACCGGAAATCGTGCAAAGCAAGCTGGTCTCGCCAGCGCGCAGTGGCCAATAGCAGATGCTCAGGGGAAAGGCGACTCCATCCCAACAGCCGCACTATGTCTGTTACTGACTGTGCTATGTGCACAAGCTCCTCAGAGCTGTCGAAAAATAACAGCTGAGATTTGGACGCATGTGAAGGCCAAGTAAACTCGATGGAGAGGAATGGCGATTGCTGGTTGTGGATTCCACTGTCAGATGGCGCCACCTGTCCAGGCCGCTCAAGTTTGTGGGGCTGTGATTGGTAAAATGCTATTGCTGAAAAGTTTGCGGACTAACTGAAGCTTCTCAATATATCTATAGGAAGAATGCATATGTCATAGCTGAGTTTAAAATTGTGCTGGCAGGGCTGAGGGAAATTAATTTAGGCCAAGTATACACCCGCTTTCGCAGGACGTGCTGGGCCCGATCAGGGTGCGCCCTGTATCCATTATAAAAGGGTTTCCATGCGGTTATGTGCTCGCTTAGAACGCTACCGTAATGTTCACGCATTTGACCCTCTTCTGCCGGTACGGCATCAAGTTTCTGTGAAGTGGGTCGGCACTGCTAGCTAAGACAATATATAATATCAAGACAATGGGTGATCGTAACCTCTGAGTGTTTCATGAATGTTCGGGTAATTATACGGGGAATCGTGTACAATCACAACGCAACACCACCTTCCACCCATCGCTAGCAGGCCGCTCACCCGATCATTGCTTTGTGCACAGCAGATGATGTAGTGGCGCCTCAGTTCCGTCGCTTTGACGTAAGCGCTGGGACACACACTCACAATGTTGCCAGTAGTTGTTGGAAGCCAGTTGGGAGTTGCTAGGTAACTTTTAAAATTCACTTGTAAAAAATCTGCATATCTCTCCAGCCTATAAATAGAGACGAATGATGGACACCTGCAAATGAACGTACCAAGCGAATTTCGCTGATATCTAGTATTGATATTTGGAAACTCCAGGTGCTTGTTCGATAGTCCTGCATTCTGACCAATTATGGCTAGCAAACACTGCCTTTAAGATATTTTACTTTTGTTTTAAAGCGTGAGTGCTCATCTGAAGCACCTTGTGACATTGCCTCTAATATCGCCCCTTGTGATGTTCCATGAAAAGAATGAGTGCGTATTTTCAATGTTGCAGAACATACACGTGGTATGCGCAAAACCACGACTGGCTCCCGACGAGGGCTTTTGTTCCTCGCGCTTATTTTTTTTTTTTGGGCTGCTCTTCCTTGGGTGGTTCTGGCTGTTTACGCCAGGAATGCTTTTTTTTTTTTCCTGGGTGCGACACTCTCAGAACACCCGCGTTGTTGCATTCTTCTGTGCCCATGTGCCCAAGCGTCACCAAGGCTAGAGTGCACATGGTCTCAGCTACTTTTCCATAGTGGGGCACTGTTCTTCCTACGATTTCAGGACAGCAGTTTGTAGTGATGCTAAAATTTATTACAATATAATGGTGCTATTGTTCATCATAAATATGTGGTAGCATTTACAATTTAATTTCTGCATTACCAGGCACTAAGCTACAAATTGCATCAAAAGGCCTTGAACAAAAATTTCACAGTCTGGAGTCATTTAGTGAGCACTGCCTATTGTGGATATTACAAGAGGCTCTAGTTCAAGTCAGTGAACTGTCCCAGTGACGTGTGAGGCTTGATAATGAAAATTACTATCATGGGGCATGTTTTTCCTTTTCTTGTGTAAGTACATGCGCTTGCTATCATTGAACAGAATGCTTTATGAAGATTGTTGCCTACTCATGCACACTTTATATGTATTAGTTCCGTGTGTGTGTGTGTGTGTAACTCCAGTTGTTTGAGTGACCATGCTTTTATTGATAAGACTTCACATGCATCTAGCGTACAATAACAGCTTTAAGATCCTTTAGTAGCCTCACTTCTTGTGAAATTCTTTCTTGCTGGCTGTGTTCAGATAAAAACGTCAGTGCATGTCTGCCAACCCCCTTTAATTTTGCACACAAATTATATATACCGTATTTACTCGCATAATAGGCGCACCCCTAGTTTGGTCGCGGAAAATTCGATTTTTTTTAATTTCGTGCATAATAGGCGCACCCCGAACTTGGCCGTGATCAGAAACGATTCTACCCCCCAGCGGTACAGTTGGAACGCGGTCCCCGTACCCTGAAGAAAAAAAGAAGGCAAATCGACGAGCAAATAAAAAAAATTCGAAGTGCAACGACCTAACCAACGTGTTTGTCGAAATAAAACTTGAAAAAAAAATAAGCGTCCATGAGCGAAAAAAAAAAACGGCTGTTCCATCAATTACTGATACCCCCAAATCGCCGCGCTTTTTGGAGGTCACGTGTACAACGCCGGGGCTCGATCGCCCTCACCACCATCAGAGAAAAACAAAGAAACGCCATTTTGCAAGCGGTGTGCGTATGTTGTGGTCGTGTATTGAACTTTGGTTCCACCATGGGGAAGTACGCGAGCTACACGGCTGGGTTTAAACTGAAGGCAGTGCAGTACGCGCTGGAGCACGGCAACCGGACTGCAAGCAGGCATTTCGGCGTTGGAGAAACCAGTATTCGGTACTGGAGGGACCAAGAAGAAAAACTTAAGGCGACGAAGAAGACACGACGGGCTTTCCGCTGGTGCCAAGACTGGCAGGTATCCGAACGTCGAAGAGCAACTGGTCCGGCATATACGGGAGCTACGACAAGACGGCTGTGCTGTGTCGTTGGATATTGTGCAGACTGAGGCGCGCAGAATAGCCCGAGCGCAGGGCATTGAAGCAAAAGAGTTCAAAGCCAGCTCCGGATGGACAACTCGTTTCATGCGGCGCCATGGCCTCGCACTGCGAAGGCGGACCACCTTGTGCCAGCGCTTGCCCGCAGCATATGAGGACTAAGTGGTGGACTTCCACAGTTTTGTTATAAAGCCCCGACAGCAGAAAGACTTCATTTTGTCCCAGATCGGCAACGCGGATCAGACACCCCTTTGCTTTGGTATGCCGTGGAACACGACAGTGGAGGAGAAAGGTGCACGGAGCGTCATCGTCAGAACGTCTGGCGCTGATAAACAACGATGCACCGTAATGCTGGCGGTGACAGCGGATGGGCGTAAGCTACCGCCTTACGTTATTTTTAAACGTAAGACGCTCCCAAAGGCAAAATTCCTTCAAGGCATCTACCTCAGAGTCCAGGAAAAAAGCTGGATGAGCGCGGAATTCATGGCGGATTGGGTGAAAACAGTCTGGGGTCGGCGGCCGGGTGGTCTGTTGTTGCCGTCCATGCTTGTCCTGGACAGTTTTCGTAGGCACCTAGTAGACCGCGTACGAGATGAGCTAAAGGAGCTGCGCACAGATCTGGCAGTGATTCCGGGCGGCCTCACATCGATACTGCAGCCTTTGGACGTGTCCTTGAATAAACCTTTCAAGGACAATGTTCGAAGGCTGTACACCACCTGGATGGCTGGAGGACAACATCAGCTGACTACAGGTGGTAAGATTAAGAGGCCCCTGTGGAAAATGCTGTGCGCTTGGATCGTGAAGCGTGGGCAGGCGATCTCCGACGAAGTCGTCCGGAAAAGCTTCAAGAAGACGGGTATCTCGAACGCACTGGATGCGAGTGAGGATGACATGTTGTGGGGTGCGGATGATTCGGACACCGAAAACGAATCCCCTCTCGGCGAGGATGAATGTGTGATCTCCGACTCGGACTCCGAATAGGGAAAAGGAGGAACAGCTACGACTTTTGTGTAAATAAATTTTACCTGTGTGTGTGTACAGTTGACGGCTCTCGCTTGTTCATTAAAAGGTACGTAGGTATGTTTGTTTTATGCTGAATTAATTGGTAAACGATAAAGTCACCTTTTACTTGACAAGTGTGCAGATTTAAAGCGCGAGAACCGAGTTGAAAAAATTTTCGAAAATTTTACCCCGCGTAATTGGCGCACCCCTAACTTCGAGCCGGATTTTCTGAAAAAAAGTGCGCCTATTATGCGAGTAAATACGGTATATATATATATATATAGTAATGAATCTGAATAACGGACGCTCTGCTAGTAATGAAGAAGACGATGATGATCGGTGGCTGTAGTAGTAGCTCGCGCACGCCGCTCGCCATTAGCCAGACCTGCCTGATAAAGCACATTTTTGCCAAGCTGCGTCTGAACCTTTCTCGCCTGACAACACCTCTATTTTAAGTGGTGGAAGAGCCGGGGTTCCCATCAACCTGGAACTTCGCAATCGGACGCTACCCTCACCGTTCACCATGACTGCTCCTGGCCCTTCTCAAGCTGCCTTACTAACGACACTCTACTGTACTGGCGTGCCTCGGCAACGCGACCCACCAATTTTTCGCGGCAACGACGAACAAGACGTCGAGGACTGGCTCGTCGAGTACGAAATCGTAAGCGCTTCCAACAAGTGGAACGCCTGCGACCAGCTCACAAACGTGTGCTTTTACCTCGCTGATATGGCCAGCCTCTGGTTCA